GGTCTGTAGGTTTATTTCTGGGCTCTCTCTTCTGTTTCATTGATCCATGTCTGTTTTTATGCCAGTACCATGCTGTTTTGATTACTGTAGCTCTGCTGGAAAGGGTGTAGAGAAAAGGGAACCCTCCTATACTGCTGGTGGGAATGTAGTTTGGTGCAGCCATTATGGAAAATAGTATGGAGATTCCTCAAAAAATTAAAAATAGGCTTATCATATGACCCAGCAATTCCACTCCTGGGCATATATCTGGAGGGAACTCTAATTCAAAAACATACATGCTCCTCAGTATTCATAGCAGCACTATTTACAATAGCTAAGACATGGAAGCAACCTAAATGTTCATCAACAGGTGACTGGATAAAGAAGCTGTGGTATATTTTTATAATGGAATACTACTCAGTCATAAAAAAGAATAAAATAATGCCATTTGAAGCAATATGGATGGAACTAGAGATTATCATTCTAAGTGAAGTAAGCCAGAAAGAGAAAGAAAAATACCATCTGATATCACTCATATGTGGAATTTAAAAAAAGAAAAAAAGAAGATACTAATGAACTCATTTACAAAACAAAAACAGACTCTCAGACATAGTAAACAATCTTATGGTTACCAGGGGAAAGGAGGTGGGAAGGGATAAATTTGGGAATTTGAGATTTGCAAAAGCTGGCCAATATATATAAAAATAGATTTAAAAAATAAATTTCTTCTGTATAGCACAGGGAACTACATTCAATATCTTGTAATAACCCTTAATGAAAAAGAATATGAACATGAGTATATGTATGTATGTGCATGACAAGGACGTTGTGCTATACATTAGAAACTGACACATTGTAACTGACTATTAAAAAAAAGAAAGACTACTTTCTCCTTTGTAGGGCTGCTAGAGTTACACAAATGATCAAAGCTTAGAATCTTTCTGTTACCTAGCATGAAGTAAAATGAGTAACTAAAGCTGACTTGCATAGAAAGTAGTAATGGAAAATGAGCAGGGAAATTCATTGTTATTTTTTGACTTCTACTGTGAACATAAAACTGTGAACATACTGACGAGTGAGATATCACTATTTTTCAATAATCCATTTTACTTGGCAGGAACTCCAAGGAGTTCCATCCATCTGCCTGGGACTTAGAGGTGATACTTTTCATAAGATTAAAGCTGGTGCTAGTCACTTCAGACACTCACTTCTGAGTGGGAGATAGGCGGATCACCCTCACCGAAAGCAGCCTCACAAAGCGCCCAGGGCACCTGCCACTGTGAGACTGCATTTTCAGTTAGTGCAAGCTGCTCCCTTCTGCTTTCACCTACTTAATTCCTACTGCACTCTGCTTAGAAAACAAAGAACACAGGCCAGTCCTACAAGTTGCAAGGCAAATTACCCACAGTATCTGCAGAACCAGACCCTGGGTTAGGATCTTGAAATTCAGTGGCTTGGTGTTTTGCGAGCAAGAGCCGAGGAACCAGGAGACCTGGGTGCCAGGTCCCAACTAACTGTGAGACATTGAGCAACCTTCTTTTCTTCACTGATTTTCAGTGGGAAAGGGTGGGGAAGGGATCTGCCTAGTCATTTCTTACTTTAACATCCTTTGATTCTGTCTACTTCCTATGGTATTATAATGATACCTAGCACTAAAAATATTATTCACTAATCCCAGACTTTAAAGTAGCAACTCACTCTGGCAGAAGGTTTTAAAAAGAATAGGCCGCATAAACTCATATCAAGTCATGCACTTTATTAAGGAATTAATAATAGACTCACAACTAGACAGATACTATGTTTTTGATTTGCTGGTTAACTCATTGACTGTGCTATATATTGACCTTCAGAAAGCTAAAGAATGATGGGTATGGACCTAACCATTAGGTAATTGATCTTCAAGCATACCTGCATTAATATTTTATTGATTGCATTTCATTTTAATTGTAGTGTGGTTAAAATTCCAACAAGTATCTTCCTTTATGTGAAAACCCCAGAGAACAGCAGCTTTGAAACATTTATCATAAAAATAAACACAGACAATTAACCAACAATTATGCTTATAAATGTCTGTGACTGGACGAATATAGATCTTCTTGTAGAAAACCAGTGATTGTCTGGAGTTTTACCGGGAGAGCATGTTTCCACAGATATGTGGAATATTTCTAACCTAGAAGCCTAGCCGGGAAAATAGCTCTACTATTATTTATTTGTCCACAACAGCTTCATTTTACAACCTAAAACTCAAAGCCAAAGACTATGTTTTCCAAACACTTTGTCAAAAGCAAAGGAATACATTTATTTATTTTAAATTTGAGCCAAAATGTGATAATTTGTCATCATACAATTTTAAACTCTAATGTTCTTTTTTCCAAGAGCAGTGGTCTAATTTTAAGCAAGCTAGCAGGGAAAGGTAATTTCGATCAGCCCCCATCTGTTGAAATTCGACTATCCTAAATAAGTAAGTGGTAAACTTCAGTAGGAGTTTGGCCCAGCTTATTATGAAAGTTGCTCCAGAGAAATGACCTTCGGTTTGCTGGAGTCCCCTCCCTCGGGTCATTCATTCAGCACACCAGTGAGAGCCTACTGTGTGTCAGGCACATAATAGTCTTCCCACGTGCATTCCTCATCACACACTAAAGTATCCAGTGACCCAAGCTTGGGACCACATTTCAGAGGCCAAATATCAACTCGCTCCTACAAATGGAAAAGAAAAGGAAGTCAGAGCTAGTAACCAGGAAAAAGTGTTCCATGCCAGTGATCGCAAGACCTCCTTCAGCTCCGCCCTCGCTTTCCTGAATTACGTACTTTCTATACCTAATTCCCTTCAGCCTCTGTAGGCTGCCTCCGTAGCCAGACAGATTTGGTTTTGAATGCTCACTTCTCCACTAGCCAGATGTGGAACCTGGCAAGTTTTTAAAACCTCTTGAAGCCTAAGCTTCTTCTCTAAGTTAGAAATAATAATATCCTACCCAAGGTTGCTGCGGGGATAAGATGAGATAATGTGAGTAAAGCTCTTAGTACTGCTTTGCAAATGATAAGCACTCAGGAGAGTGTAGCTTCCATTTAATCTTGTCATTAGCGGAGAACAGCGATGACAGATGAACTAAGATTTATCAGGTTCCTTGTACTCCTTGGGCAAAAAGAGGTTCGGGAAATTATCCTCTCTCCCTCCTCTCCCCACCCCCAACTCACTCAAGTTTCTTCTTTATGAATTTGAGAGCTAATTCTCTAATTTTTGTACCCTCTTTCCTTTCGTCTCCTCTTTCTAATTCTTCATGATTCAGTTTAGAAATGTCACTGTACATCAGCGTAACCGTCAACAAAGCAAAAGAGCAAAAGAAAAACAGTAAAAATTCAAATCACTAGCTGAAAGTAGTAAATATTCCTAAGTGGTGAAATTACGTGATAATTTTTACCTTCTTCACATATGCTTTTTTTTGTTTTCCAGACTTCTACATTAACATGTATTATTTTTATAAGAAGAAAAAAATGTACTTTAAAAAGTGTGTGTGTGTGTGTGTGTGTGTGTTGTAGCCAGAGGAATTTATATATTAAGCTCAGTTAAAGGTACGTTTGTAGGAGATTGTCTGAAATGACCAGAGCATGCATGAATACCAAAAGAAAACTATTTCAGCAAAAAGCTCAGGACTTAGAGTTAAAGACATTGATTTAAATCCTAGCACAACCATTTAGAAGCTGTATGACCTTAGTCACTTAATATAGCTAAGCCTCATTTCTCTCATCCATAAAATGGGGTAGTATTACCATTCTCCAGTGATTCCTTGAAGATTAAGTGAGATTGATGTGAAAAACGTATGATCTATGGTACGAGTGAGAGCTCAGCTGCATTAGTTGACTTATTACCTGAAGAGTATATAAATATTTTTTTAAAAGATTAACCAGAAAATTTAGACCAAAGCTTCTACACTAATTAAAATTATCTCATGCATTTGGATGTTCCATCCATACCTGAAATATAACATGGTAAAAACTAAACTTAATATTTTTCCACATAGTCCCTTCCCAAAGTAGCTCCTTTTCTTTTCTTTATTAGTACTGTTAATGAAAAAGATCCACTTTATAGTT